AAATTAGAAAAACTAATTTTTCAATCTGAACTGAAACAATACATTCACACGTGAATACGGTGTGAATACAAATAGTTGATCCTAAAATGTGATCCTTTCTGCTTGAAAAATATTCAATCGTTGAAAATTTTCGAGGTTGATACGCAAACTTGATTTATAATTAGCTTTGTTATTTTTTATCAAAGAAATTTTAACATTTATTTGAAATCATTTTGATAATAGCAATGACGCGATAAGAATTTTATAAGCTTTTTTATTGTACGTCTTATAAAAATGTTGATAAGAAAGAATTAAAAGCTTTACATTGATGACTGTATAACGACACTCTGCCGCTCTTACTCAGTTGTTTAAAAAACATTGAATTCCACTGATATTTTCCCAAATTAAATGCATATTAATCTCTGAACAAATTTCTACCAAATCCCTTTTTAATCTTCGAGAATTCTGAAAGTAATTTAAATTTTTGAGTACATTTAAATAAAATATGAAGCTTCAATGCGACTTGTTGATATATTCTTACAAATTCAAGAGATACACACAAACATATCCAAACACACTCAATTTATTTATTGATATAGTTTAAAGCTGGAGCGATATTAATGTATTTATTTAGTTAAATAAATATTAAATTACATAGATTATTATGACATAGATGACTTTGTATAAATATAGAATGATGCACACGACATAATAATTGATGGCATATTTCTTTCTTTTAATAAGATTTTCTTGGCAACATGTAACGTGTGACAGTTGTACTTACTTTAAGTGGCATAAATTTGATCCTTACAATAATGATTCATGAATTTAAGAAATAACGGCATTGCAATATTGATTTCTGCCCTCTTTTGATCACCAATAATCTCTTGTAATAAAAATTTGTATTCAAGAAAAATATGTGAGCCAGGAAAAGCAACAATAAATGGCTGATTCAGCTCTTTTAAAATGTCTGCAATTTTCGATTCTATGGAAGCAGGGATTCGTAACAGATGTATTTTAAGAATTAAGGACATATTTTTCTAAAAGCGTTCTAAATGTGTTTTAAAAGAGTAGCGGATAAAATAGGTTTCAGTTAAAAATAAAGGCAAAATGTACGCGTTTGAACTTTCTTCTCGGTCGCACTTACCATACTTATTTTACTGGTCATGTAAAACATCTTATGTTGTTATTAAATTAAATCCTGACGACGTAAGTAAAAATACATAAAAAGTCCGCTTTAATAGAACCGCTAAAAGCAATAAGAAACCAATTTCAAAATGATGATTCAATTTTTTTCTGAGGATTTACTCAATGATTATTTGTTTATTTTCTTCTCCAGTGACTCATTCTAACTTAAAGCACTGTGCAAGAATGACTTGTAGTGTTTTCTTTTATGGATTTCATTGAACGATGTAATGAAAAATTGAGTGGGCGGGTGCTGTTAAAGCTACTTTTATTTCCGTTTTTGGTCATTTCAAATAATACACAATTTTGATGTTGATTTATCAAGCAGTCCTCGACTGAAAATAATGAGATTTGCAGCTGTGTGAGAAATGTTAAAATACTATAAATAAAACAAAAATTGCGAAAAGTTTCACTCAAAAGCTTATTTTCTTCCATTTACATTAATAAATCACTTCACAATTTTTGTGAAGCTTTACATAAGAAATGAATTTCAATCCATCTTGTAAACCGGTGTTGTCAAATCTATTTGAATTGCTTTAGCAATTATAAACATTATAAATGCAAATCAAATTAAAATGCGCATTTGACACCAATTTCCTGACAATATGCCCATATACAATTTCTGACTGATTGCTCTCAATGCGCTACATGTATTATTGTTATTATGATTATGTAGATCCGATAACATAATTTGCTATGCCATTTCGATATTTATTGTAAAAAAAGAACAACTTTTATTTTCCCAAAAGCCAATCAATATTGATTTTTTTATATGCCTGCTTGCTGTACTTTCCTTTCCTTTTTTCTTCAATCTTTAACATTTATGAAGTTCTTTTTACTTCTCATTTCCTCATATTTTTCATTTTCTTACTTCGCATGGTAATTTTTTGATTCCATTACTTTATATCTCTCTTGGATTAAACCGTGCTTCACTCCTCGAATCAGAAGTAGGCGTGAAGTTCGGCCGAGACCCATATCGACACAGTTAAAAAGTCATACCTAATTTATGTCATAATTATGTCAGTTACAAAAACATTTAGTTTGAATTTTGTCACCCTCGGGAACACTATGAACCAGTATAGCTGATTTTGGTCCAAATCTCGGCCATACTTCACACTTGTTTGAACCACATTTTCTCGTTAATGTTAAAATATTATTAAAAAGTAATTAATCCTGAATTATGTCGCTATTTTGTCAAGTGTTTTAAGATAAAGAAAATTTTTTTTCGTTTCCACAGTGAAGAGGATAAACAAAATTCAGGGGGGTAGTCGAAATTTTAGCTTTCGATTTTTTTAAGCTATGTATTGCAAAAAATAATATTGGTATGTGATTTATGTCAGAATTATGCCAATTCAATTTTCAATTTTGGACTAGGGGCGACCCTAGTCAAAATCAATTTTGTCACTTTTTTCTTCGAGGGTTTATACAAATGGATTAAAACTTTGCATAAATATTCTAGTGCTAAAAACGAATACAAATAAAACATCCTAAAACTTTTTTGAGCAAAGAAACAGGTAGGAAATACATTATCAATTTTGGATTAGGGGCGACCCTAGTCAAAATCTATTTTTTCACTTTTTTCTTCGAGTGTTTATAAAAATGGATTGAAACTTTGCATGAATATTCTAGTGCTTAAAACAAATAAAAATAAAATATCCTAAAATTTTTTTGACTAAAGAACCAAGTATCAAATACATTTTTAATTATGAACTAGGGACAGGCCTAGTCAAAATCTAGTTTTTCACTTTTTTTTCTTCGAGGATAAATCCAAATACAGTGAAACTTTGTATGAGTATACTATATTAATGCAAAACAGTTTTAAATATCTAAAACAAGAAATCTATTCTATATGTCGTCACACCCAAATTTTATAAATTTGGTTGTACATTCAAAAACAACGAGACTTCAAATTTTGTCCATTGTACGAGTTAAATTATTTTTATGAATTTAGAAATGTGTTACCTGAGTACTAGAATGCTCATACAAAGTTTCACTGTATTTGGATTTATCCTCGAAGAAAAAAAAGTGAAAAACTAGATGTTGACTAGGCCTGCCCTTAGTTCATAATTAAAAAAGGATTTCATACTTAGTTCTTTAGTCAAAAAAATTTTAGGATATTTTATTTTTATTTGTTTTAAGCACTAGAATATTTATGCAAAGTTTCAATCCATTTGGATTTATCCTCGAAGAAAAAAGTGAAAAAATTGATTTTGACTAGGGTCGCCCTTAGTCCAAAATTGAAAATTGATTTTCTATCGTGTACTTTGGTCAAAAATTTTTTTTGGATGTTTTATTTGAATTGGCATAATTCTGACATAAATCACATACCAATATTATTTTTTGCAATACATAGCTTAAAAAAATCGAAAGCTAAAATTTCGACTACCCCACCTGAATTTTGTTCATACTCTTCACTGTGGAAACGAAAAAAAATTTTCTTTATCTTAAAACACTTGACAAAATAGCGACATAATTCAGGATTAATTACTTTTTAATAATATTTTAACATTTACGAGAAAATGTGGTTCAAACAAGTGTGAAGTATGGCCGAGATTTGGACCAAAATCAGCTATACTGGTTCATAGTGTTCCCGAGGGTGACAAAATTCAAACTAAATGTTTTTGTAACTGACATAATTATTATGACATAAATTAGGTATGACTTTTGAACTGTGTCGATATGAGTCTTGGCCGTACTTCACACCCACGAATCAGAAGTAGATTTTTCTTGTGTGAAATTTTATCATTGAAAATAAGTAGAAAGCAAGCAGAAATTTTCAGTTGTCATTCTTTTAATTCTGTCAAAGCCTAATATTATTCAAAAAAAGTCCCGCTTGTAAATTATATTTAATATCTGAAGTGAGGATTGATTAATGGATTACACGAATATTGATCTATTAAATGAATATGGTGATATAAGGGGTTCAATTTTTATATATTAATAGACCAACAGAGAAATTAACTAGAATTCATCCCTTTGATGATATTCCTTTTACTGTTTCAGCCTTAAATAACATTTCAATAATACATTACCCCAAAAAATATTGCTTTTGGCGCCACCTTTGATATTTTTGTTCTATAAGTAATGTTATCGTTCCATTAAATATGAGAAACTGTATGTTAATGACGTTTTTGGTTCTTACTATTTTACTGAATGATATGATATGAAGAATGAATGTTGAATGATATGTTTATTGAATAAGATATTGAAAGTAAATAATATTTTGCATGTGTGGTGAGCAATCAAATATTTTGATATAAATAAACAATTTTATGCTTCAACATAAGGGTTATATGGGTTATATTCTATTTTAATAAAGTTTATAAAGTCAAATTCTGTCGATATGCATTTAAGTTTAGTTTAAATTTGTAAATATCTACTATTCACTCTTCATAGTCAGGTATTTTTACTCATACCTTGTTCTGTTTTCATGCTGCTTCAACAAAATGAATCAACATACCTGAGAATCGTTCTCGGAACATATTTTAAGAACCACTATCATATAAACTCACGTTAAAATATTGCCAACCACAAGAGAATTAAATATTTTCACTCAAAAACAAATATTGTTAGCATAAGCGTGGTGATTTATGATATTTATTTATATAGTTTTTATAAATGTTTCGTGCTGAACTTGAGTATGAAAAAATAAAACATTGACGTGATATTCTGCATGTAACTCATGCTGATATTTATGTGAAACGATAATTAAGAATGGAAAAACAAGGAAAACTAGAAATGATAATTCCGATTATTCTTATTTGCATGAACAGCATATTAACCAGATAACGTCAACAAAATGTCTGACTTTATTTGTCTTATATCTCATGATTTAGGCTCAAAGTGACGATGAAGATGCGGGGATGGATGATGTTGCCATCAACGTCGATGGCTTCATGGAAGAATTCTTCACTGAGGTGGAAGAGGTTAGAGAGATGATAGATAAAATACAATATAATGTCGAGGAAGTTAAGAAAAAACACAGCGCCATCTTATCCGCTCCGCAAACGGATGAAAGTGAGTACATAAATAATGATTGGATATAATTGAAATAAATTAATGATAATACTTGTCATTAAAAACAGAAACCAAGCAAGAGTTAGAGGATCTGATGGCAGATATTAAGAAAAATGCCAATAGAGTTAGAGGAAAACTAAAGGTAACAATCATAAATCACATGAACTTTGCTTTATTTATAACTTTTCGTGACCTTCTTGTTTTCTCCCACTTTATTGTGCCCTTTAGAATATCGAACAAAATATCGAGCAAGAAGAGCAAGGAAAATCTGCGAGTGCTGACTTGCGAATACGTAAAACACAGCATTCAACATTATCAAGAAAATTTGTTGAAGTAATGACAGAATATAATCGAACGCAAACTGATTATAGAGAGAGATGTAAAGCAAGAATACAACGTCAATTGGAAATCAGTAAGTTCGCTTATTCTCATAGTCTTTTTGAGTAATTTATTTTAAATTAAAATTTACTTTCTAATAGCTGGTAAAGCTACAACAAATGAGGAGCTCGAGGAGATGTTGGAGCAAGGAAATTCAGCAGTGTTTACACAAGGAGTGAGTAACTTTAACTAAAGCAATTTAGAAAAACTGGAATCTAAATTTCTTACATTGTGTTCTTTTCTCCTCAATTAATTTAGATTATTATGGAAACACAACAAGCTAAACAAACCCTGGCAGATATTGAAGCTCGACACGCTGATATCATTAAACTTGAAAACTCAATTCGAGAATTGCATGATATGTTTATGGATATGGCAATGTTGGTTGAAAGTCAGGTAATGAAAATTGGTTGTGCACATTTTTGTGTGTTTCTTCTTTCTCCTTTTATTTTTGGTTTAGTAGTGCTTTTGTGAAAAGTCATTTTTTGTGTTGCTGCCTTGTTTCAGTGGAAATGAAAAAACAACAGTGAAAATTAATTGAAAAAATTTCTTCTTTTCTTCTCTCTTTACATTTCATTATTTCTTTTTAACGCTCGCAAATCGTAAACGAATGAAATTTCGTTTGGCATTTGAAATCTTTTATTTTTCAATTTAAACAATAAATCATGAAAACAGGGTGAAATGATCGATCGTATAGAGTATCATGTTGAACATGCAATGGATTACGTCCAAACGGCAACACAAGATACCAAAAAAGCACTCAAATACCAAAGTAAAGCTCGTCGGGTAAGTTGACAAGACATTTTTATTAATGCGTGTTTTTTTTTTTCTTTTTATTTTATTTCATTTTCCACCATCACAAACCCTGTTACATCCTTCATTTTTATGGTTACTCACATTGATACCCTCCTGAATTTATTATGATTCTGCTTATTTTCTTACGTCACATGTTTTATGTTGTGTAATATTCATATTTTCTTATATGTTTATTCATATTTTCCTCAATCATTATGATTATTTTTTGTACATTGTTAAAAATTGCATGAATCTTTTCATTAAACAAAAACCAAAACTGTATATATTCTGTTGCTTTTTATGGCATATTCATTTCATCTGGAAATCTTTTTTTTTCCTCTCCATTTTCACATTTTATATTTTAAACCCACAATACAAATGAACACTCATTATCATACTAATGCTTTTAACTATTTTACAAATTTTTTCCACATTACTTTCTGTAACATGAACCCTTTTAATACAAAATATTTTCCTTTTTATACTTCTTCTATTTAATTTTTCTTATGTTATTTTGTGACCTTATTTTCACATTAATTTGCATGATTCTTTTTATGATAATTATTTTTCTATATAACTATAACTTTCTACATTTTATAATGATAATTTTAAACAACTTTTTAAATCTACTAACATATGTGAATTTCGATTAAATTTATGTACTCCTATTTCATGGAGGTGGATTTTCAATGCTATTATCTTATTCACTAACATCAACCATTACTAACGGCTTCGAATCTGTGATAATTATTGCAATAACACGAAATAATTTCCATTCTATTAAAAATTAAATGTTAATAAAAACTGCTACACAAATTACTTTATGCGCATAAAATGATGTACTGGATTAACTCTTTAAAAACATGGTTCTTATGGTTTACGATCTATATGAAATATTTAACAATAAAAATTCTCTAATGCACGTGCAAAATAAATAATCTTCAATGCTATCCGCTCTGTAAAAATTTTCTGAATATACACAACAAAAAAAAAAAAATTTCCATAAAAACATCCACTAAGGTAATTCAATTGGTGACGACGGATGAAATGCCAAAAACAACAATACCACAATTGCAACAACAAACGTATGAAATAACAGGGTGAATTGGTTGATCGGATTCAGAATCATGTGGAGCAGGGCAAAGACTATACGGAAGTTGCAAAGAAGCAAATATATCAGGCGTCCGTGTATGCTGAAAAAGCGAGAAAGGTCAGATAAGAACATGCTTACATTTTTAACCATTTTTATCGATACCTTTACACCTTAAAAATAACAATAATTTCTTCTTATGATGTATTTAAATCATATTAAATTGAATCTTGGCTTTGAAATGTATTGATCTCTTCCCGAAAAAAGAAGTTTGTACAGTACATGTATGTAGGAAATAAGAGTATTAACTTTTTATGTGCATGAAAAAAGTAATAATCCAATAAATTGGAGTAATTTGAGGCGGAAAAAATGTTTAAAAATTAATAGTTATAAACAGAACAAGGAAGTTAATCTTCAACTTATTTAACACTAGGTGGAGGGATAAAGTCTATAAATTTTTGTCACAAATCAAATTTAAGTTGAGGTAATTTATTCACATTTGAACATCCAAAATAGAGTATGTAGATTGAATTTATGAGAGGTCATCTATTGAAATATGTATAGAATATATTTTTTCGGAGTATATAACGCGTTAAAACCACACGTTTCCATTTTTATCCCATATGAGAATATGATATAATCTAGTGAAGAGAAGATTCGGTACACAGGAAACGAGATATTTTTGTATCACACAAAAATAATACAGCAAAATATTCATACATGATCCTGAAATGAAAAAATGCTTCAACATTAAAACCAGAAAACGTTCATACACACAAACATATTCTAATACTTCATAATTTATGAGCTTTTCGAGATGTTGCTTGGTGGCAGCAGATGGGCTTTTCGATTTTGCTATAAACACAAACATACGAATGTACATGCTTTTACATGACTTCAGGCACTAAAGTATATGAAGAAAAAAAATTATGTGTAAATGTTAAAAAGCAAAAGTATAAAGGTAGTATGGAATTCTCATGACTTTAGAACTTTTGAAATTGGTATTGCGGAGGATAAGTAATTTATTGCTATTACCGTTCGGTGCGTCACTACGTTCTATGCAATTTTATTTATGATTGCAATGAACAATTTTAATTGGATTCTCCCACTTGCTACCTTTTTTTTGTCACATATTTTTATTAAAAGTTTCTGAAAGTTGACGAAAATTAAGTTCAAGTGAGGCTTAACAATGGGGTAGATTAGCAAAATTTATAAATGGTTGGAACCAAAACATTTTAATCTCAAATTTATGAATTATTTTTCATTCCTTATTTTTGATAATTTTTGATTAAATTGAAAAAAAAAATTTCATACAAAAATGCGTTGCTAAAATCAATTAATGAGGACAATCCATACTCGTTTATTCCTCCCTTTGCGAACGATGATAAATAGCTTGTGATAACATTACATGCTTTTTACACGTAAGAGTAAAAACAAATAAACTGCTTCTATTGTCTTTTTCCCTACACACGCTTTTTATTTTCCTAAACACTGAGGTGAAAAATTAGACATAGAAAAAATGCTTCATAGCTAAAGACTGAATGAAAAATTATTCTTACTAAGAACATATTTTTCCCTATTCCTCGTTTCATGTCTCATCTATTGTTGCTCGAAGCAATTTATGCATGCATATACGTTTAAGCAATAAAGGGAGTTATATTTATAAGGTGAAAGATCATTAAAAGGAACTCAAAGAATCTGTAGAAGATTTTCATAAATATTTATAACAGATTTTGCCTTTCTTCGTGACATATCCACTTCCAATATTATTTTTCTTTTCCTTCTCTTTCTTGCTATTTTTCTCTTTATTTCTATAGATACAAAATAGCTAATAAGGTCACTCTGTTTCTCTCCATTTGACACAAATAGCTCTATAAATTTTTACTGTTTATAGTTTTGTTGTATACTCCTTCCCATTTCAGTGTCATTTGTCATCAAGGATAGATTTTCACATTAGTGCTTTAATGTCTCTTTTTCTTCCTATATTAAGCAAGTCTCCTTTCTTTGCCTTAGATAAAATTGTCTTGGATTATCTGCATTTTTGCCATTAACACAAAATATTAAATGATGATAATCGCAGGGTATTTAAACTTATATTTATGTCAATACGATTCATCCTTCTTTTTTTTATAAGAGATAAATTATTATAAATTAGAAGGTAGACATATTTTTCCTGCACGCTGCTACGTGTTCAATTTTATTTCAACTTTCTATCTCCTTTCACGTTTTATCGCTGTTATATTAATGTCTTATGATAAGCAAGAAAGAGAATTTTTCCACAACTGAGAAGAGAGGAAGTCAAGGTCAAGTCATATTAAATTCCGGAAACAAAAGTTCTTTTGAATTCAACATTTTGGTGACGCACTACTTTTACATCACTAAGGTCCAACATCGCTTAGGAATGACGTCTTAAAATTATAGGATTTATAAGAAACAGTTATGTCTTGTACTTACCTCTTTTGTCTTCCAAATCAAAAATTTAAGAAACTTTTTACTTTTCACATTCTAGAAATGAAAAAAAAGAAGGAATTCCTGAAGAATAATGTCATGTCTTTGGTTCTTTTCCATAGTTGTTTGTTTGTGGCGTGTGTGGGTGTTAACATATTTGATGTTTATCATAATCCTACATATTTTTCATTATAAACTTTTGTGCTGCAAATATATATTTCGTGGATAAAAAAATGTGTGTTTCACAGTCATTCTATGATCTTTGTTGATAAAAAAATAAGCATTTTGCTGTTCAAATATTGTGTAATCTATATTGTTCCTCATTAGTGAGCATTAAAATATGTTGTTCTGTAAATCCATCCTTTAACTTCTATCTCTAATGTCCTTGAAAAATTCGCTGTGTTAGTGTGCTTTCCATCATTCAAATGTCTAACTTTTTTAGCTGCTATTTTGGCAAAAAGAAGCCAAAAATAATGAAAAAGAAAATTTTTATAACACACATTTTTTTCTTTTTCTTTTTTCTTTTCTTTTGCTTACAGAAAAAGATATTGATTATGATATGTCTGGTTATAACAGCAGCGATTTTAATAATACTTTTGATTGTTTGGCTTTCTACATGGTGGACATAAATTACAATTTTAATATTTTCTGCATTAATATTAATTTTAATAATTACTAATCATAATGAGCATAATTACTGCAAATATCAAAACAATTATGCGAGTAACAAGTCTTTATCATTCTCTGCCAATTAGTAAAATTAAGCACAAAAAAAATAATAATTGAGAGAATTTATGAAATTTTTATCAGTTTTTAGCGCGTAGTCTATAACAAAAAATTAAACTTAATCACAAAGGCAATAGTTGAGCGTGAATCAGGATGTAAAAGAAAATATTCTTTAGGTTTAGTGCTTTAGAATTTTAATTTTTTTAAAATATATCGAAATTTACTCTAGTGATTTTAGGTTTTTAAGATTCTTAAACCAATTTACATCAATTGTCCCATAACTGCTCATGTTTTTGTGTTGTTTACAGTTTACTTTCATTTTCTGGTGCCAGATTACTGCAACCAAGCGACAATTGAATCAGGAATCCAGACTGAATATAAAAAATTGAAATCTAGACTTTACGTTTCCAATCCAAGATATTTTCTAGTATGATCCTGACGACTCGACTTTTATTCAAATTATACAAAAAGTAATTAAGTTAACGCTTGAAAGTGGTGAGGTATGCGAGCTTTAATCGCGTGATTGGGAATAATTGTAAGAAAACAAAAATTATTATTATTTTTTTGAAAGTGTACATAATCAAATCGATTGAATAAACCGTTCGATATGATTTTTTTAACTATCAATCTTCTTTAAAACATAAAAATAATTACCAGAACGTGACAAAGGAAATACTGTTTAAACCAAAAAAAGAAATCATTAAGACATTTCCTTTTTCTTCAAATG